TCAACTAATATAATTCAATCTGCATTTATCAGAATTTCGATTTTATTGCGAATTCAGATTTTTCACAAACTCTCATAAGTTTTGCATCTCTTTTACATCCAATAATATGCAAATACACTGTTGAATTATCTCTGCAATTGGAACTTCAATTTTTCGAACACCTTTTCCCTAATAACTCGATCATACAAGGACAAATTATTCTAATAACTCTCTCCAATTTCCCTCCAATTCGACTTTGATCCCAGTGTTCACATTTCATAGAAACCAGTAATTCTCGCGATCTCCAGAAGACACGCACCTCGAACACTCTATCCACGTTCATCATCGTAAGATCGTGCGTCCCAGATGAAGAATAAAACAGTATGGCGGCACACTCGAATCGAATCACAGGCATTAATCGATGCGTAAGGGCAGAGAGCAATTCTAATCGGTTGGGTGGAAGATGAGGATTATAGGGCAATCATGGTCATCGGATAATGGAGAGATCCGGGGGATCGAACTCGCGAGAGAGCTCGGTCGCATGAGAACTTTCTATAACGGTTCGAGCCACTCCGGCTCCAAGTATCTACGTGTTTATGTAACCATAGCTAGCATCGTTACGCGCAGACCCGATATTAAATTGATACCTTGGAAGATTTCGAATCGACCGGTTGAGATTTTCGTATCTCAACTCTTGGAAGAAATCGGAGGATAATCTTGTTAACCAAACAGTCTAACAATAAAACGATGTTTCTTTAAACTTGATTCTTTTTTTTTTTTCAGAATTATTTTCCATGTTCTCAATCATATTGAAAGATTCGATGAAAAAATTAAGTGGAAAAGATTCGATAGTTCAATTCCAAAGTTTTGATTTTGATCAACGTATGCAATTCGTTCGTTTTCTCTTTTTTTCCCAGAGGAGGATAATAGCACGAGCGGGGCAGAGAATAGAGCACTTGCCGCGTAACGAATCGTTGATAAATAGGTAGAAATCTAGAAGAGTTTTTCCTTGAAGAAAGATCGAAAGAAAGATCTATGTGGATCGAGACCTCTACCTTCTGTATATAGGATAATCGGCGACAGAAGGGAAACTATACCGAGAAGCGATCATGCCTCGCCATTTGCGCGTGTATACACACTGTTGTGTATACTAAGCGAATGAAAGTTGCTCTTTCACCAGATGCCAATGGATTTTAATTTGAATGGAATTTTAATTTTACGACGCGGTTGATGCGATTTGAATGACACGATCCCCCCTTCACTCAAATTTCACGCTTCGCGTGATTAAATTATCAAAAGAAATTAAAAATCGATAATGTGAAATTTTAACATTAAAACTGTGAATACTTTGCAAGTACGTCTCTACGGATTGAATGTTCTTGGTGAATTTTATTCTAACATCTAAATTTTTATTTTTTCATTTTAATTTTAATTTAGTTTAATTATTTTATTTTATTTATTATATTTATATATGATATTAGAAAATTATTCTTTATCTCTTTTATTATGCGAAATAATCGAGATTTGGATTAAAAATTTTAATCGAGATCGTAATTGTATCGATTCATTGAATCTACGAGAGTGGGTCGTTGGATAAAGTGGTAGTTGATTTTCTAGTCGTTGGAGCGCGGTTTCCGGTTCCTGTCTCTTTGGCCTGTGACCGTTAAAAAATATCCAGACGCGGAGGAGGGGGAACGAAAAGTATATTTGCTCGAGAAATTTCTCCAGAGAGTTCTTCGAAAGGATTCGTAGTACGCGAAATCACAATCTCACGTTGTTACAAGGTAACAACATAAGATTTGGTTCATAGCTTATAAAAATATATAAAAATATGTTCACAATTAATAAAGATAATAAAGATTATGAAATATACATTTTGGATTTCGCGATATGTGATAATTTTTGAAAGAGATTAAGTCGAAATATATTGAAAAGTGCTAATTACGAATTACACGTTTCTTAAATATCTCATAATGAAAGAAAATAGCGTAGAGCAATCGAGTTAAATGTACACGCTTAATTTCGTAATTTTTTTTATTACACATGCGAATGAAATCGATGTGTCAATTATCGATTTGTTCGAGCCACGTGAACGTAGGCTTTCGATAGTTTAAAAATAATTAATATTCTGCCTCCCACAATATATCGCAATCTTTGAAATCCCACGCTTTTTCTTTATCTTCCAAATGGTTAGATAAACATCGTAGACTTTTAGAGATCTAAAAACAACTTAATTTACTCGAACTCGAAAAAAGAAGAATATCGATACTCTCAATATCAAAATCTATCTAATCGATGAAACCGATCAGAAAAGTAGATCTTCGATGGATAATAAATATACATGATGGATAATCAATAAAAAAAAAAAATTCGTATCAAGAGTAAAACGATAGATCTTTAATGATAATTCAAATTTAGATTGCATTAATGCAACGATCGAAAGTACAATCGTTGGATCGTACAATCGTCCGATCTAACGTCCAATTCTTTCGTCAGAGGTCGGCGACTTTCATAAGAAGCTTCACGATTACTGCATTGCCTCTTTCTCCTCGTGAAATATTGTATCGATTACTGCGTGTATGCGGCCCGTCGAGAAAGTGAGCGTCCATTTGCGAAAGAGACGTATGTGCTCAAGAAAGCACAAGCGTGGCGTTGCGCAACCACCAGACACCAAGGTGCTTGGGTAATTTTGTGTATATATAAATATATACACACCGCATTTCAACCCGTAGCTCGTTTCACCATAGATATATTCGCGCCAAGTGAGATAGTGAGAACTTCCGCAATTAATTTTCCACCGACTTTTCCTTTTTTTAAATATTTCTTTTCAACGATCGTTAATTATTATCCGTTTATTTTTCTGAAATTCTCGCGAATAAACGTGAAATATATAACTCTTAATTATAGGCTCGAGATATAGGATAGGTCG